GTGAGAGGTTATCGTCATTACCCATTGCGCCATATTCATAGGAAATAATCGCATTATGTAGTGATAACAATTGCCACGGTCGTTGCTGCGTGATAATTACATTTTCAAATAGACTTTTTGAGACAGTTTCATTAGCCTCTGTGGTGTTTGCATCTTTTTTTTTTTTTATTTCCACACTTCCTGCGGTGCTGGCTGGCAGAGACAGTTCGCTGTACGACCTCCAGGATCCGGCGCACCCTGTGCCGTCGTCTCAAATCTGCCGGCCAAACAACCGCTGCCAAGTCATCGGGACACTTCTCATTCGGTCGTTCTCATCTTCGTTCGCCTCTTTCAAATGACTTTGGATAACAACGCCTCAAAAATACGTAACCACTCGTTGACCATATATCGCCGTTTATTCGGCGAAGTTTACCAAAATCTAGTGTCACTACTGAGTAATAGGAATTATAATACGATCAGCAGCAAAAACGAAGTGTCCAAGAAGCAAACATATCCTCCATATTTGTTTGTTGTTGAGTTGGTTTAGTTGAAATTAATAATAATATAATAATGAATACTTATAATAATAATAGTGAAAAATAATGAATACTCCATGTTTCTATTTTCTTTTCTTAACCTCGTTCAGCTTCGCTTGTTCTTATCATTTCTATCACCACCGAACAATCATAGAAAACAATTAGGGGTAGTATCTGACCTATGTTCCACATTCATGTAATATTACGTTTACTCAGCTTACATTTTTTAAAACGCTGCCAATAGTTTCTCTTAAAAAAAATTTCCTGTTTGTTAACCCGCATCCGTGAAGACAAAAACAATATAAACGCTGGTTTTTGACTAAGAGTGCAGCATGTCTAAAGGCGGACGAAGAGAAATTACCGGAAAATAAATCCCACCCAAAAAACACCCAAGTACTATTAAACACCTTCCATTGTCGTTGGCCATTTAAACAGTGTAAGCTTGCTGCTGTAACGATCGTTGATTTAAAGAAACGACCCTCACACTTCTTTCTGATCAAAAATGCTTAAAATCCTGCCTTCCTACGTGACGCCATGAGATCCTGAGGAAGCAGCCCGCACCTGTTTATAAACTCAGCTGCACAGTTCCATCCCACTATAATCTCAAACCAGCAGCTGCCCACAGATGTCTCATGAAGTCGTACACACGCCATTCCGCATTTCTTGTCACAACAAAACGAATCCGTGGACACCTGTTACTACGTGCTACATCAACCTGACAGACCGCGATCTTCTACTCTTGTCGTTCTAGGCTTACTATCAGGGATAGTTATTAGGCAGTACTCCAAGAACTTCATTGGTTGTCTTGGATATCAATGATCACGAAATGAATCAGGAATTCCAAAAATTCAAAACGCGCATGGCGGGTATTCCTTGGGATCCCGCTTAGTAAACATCGATAAGTAACAGATAGCGTCAATCGCTATTTCGTAGAAAGTACTTTGCCTTATCCACGAGTTCTTGAAGACCAGGTTTCACAACAAAGACACACAGCTAAGACAGACATCTTAGCTGAACATGAAGTTGTCCGAAACACCTCCGCTCCGCTATTACTAAAATGCCTGTTTTTGTTATACCTCGGCCTTCATGGTTACTGTAGATCGGACTTCTTTATAGTAGATCTACTACAACGGCCATCGACAAAAAGCCCATTACTATGAAGACAAACATCTACGTAAGCAAGCTCTTACGTATTTCGTTACACGTTCCAATCACGATTCGGATGCGACGTGTCGTACCTCACCGTTATTGTTACCGTACATAACCTCTACAGCTATCCAATTTTGATAGAAACATTGATGATTGAGCAAGACATCGCCCGCCAGACAGAGTGGAGTTTTAAAAACAATACGCTGTCATGCAGAACGCCAATTTGACTAAAATGGCGAGGCTATACTGAATTGGATAAACGTAGGTGCTCTTTGTTCTTCCAGCAGTTAATCTTGAGCTCAACGAGAAGAATTACGGTTCTTGTGGCATCGGAAATGTACCCCAAGGCGGCCTTTCTTCCTCAGCGTCATCATCGCACGGCCGTCACTAGGGATTCAGCTAGCTTAACACGTATACTCGTCATTACATCAGCTAGAAAGAACGCGTAGTAAATATAGGTTACCCTCTAGGCGTAAAATCGAGTATCTTTTATCTGTTTATATTGTCATTATCGTATATCGATAAATTAAATCACATCTCTCATTTCACAAAGTTCAGATACTTGTTTGTGTGCCGCTTCGTTAGTCGGGCTCGGTTGTTTTTTAGATGCTTCCACATCATTAATTTATAGTGTGCCTACATACCCACATTCGTAGCACTACCGTCATTGTGATTACACTAAATTATTGATAATCACGCACATACATACATACACGCATTCCCAAACTCAACTGCGCATGCACAAATCTTAACTACGTGTCATTAATAACAAGTTTGACTTACTATCTTCAGTTAATCAACTTGAATTTTTTAAGTTTTTCAACCTGCTTCGTATGTTATTAAAGTAGAGAAAAAGCATTCTCATTTTGCATCAAGTGATGAACTACTAAACAGCGTACACGAACTAAAGTTTCGCCTATCGCCATTGTACTTCTTATCATGACTGCATACCATGTTATGCTCTCGGCTCAAAGGAAGAGTACACACGACCCGATCATCCAGCCCTGTCAACCGAAGTTTCGAGCTGAATCTGCAACAAATTTCCATGTGGCGTTTTTTCTGGCTTTTTCTCTCACCCTCACACGTATTCACATTCTATTTTAGGTATTACACGGAGCGAACAACGTGGCCCCAATATTTAGTCATAGTAATCATGCTTCTCTGATGAAAATCCTGAGCGGCAGAAACACTGCCACATGCACCTATTCAACGTAATGCGCTGCTTATCTTCGCAATACGGGCAGTAGTAAGGTGACGTTAATAAGCATTACCTCTAGGGGGTGTGGAGGTCATTGGATTTCTTTTTGCACTTTCCTGTTTGGTTATCCCGTTAAACTGAACGGAAATGGTACTCACGTTAAGTGGTTACGAGCGACCTAAATTTTATCAGCAGCATTATGTAGTTTTCATCCCCACAACCGTTGTTCGATATCCCTACAATCATATTACCACATTCATCATTGAAGTTACTTAGCATTAATATTTACCACTATGTACAGGACACATAATGAACGAAGCAAAGGTGCTTAATCATCAAGTCAGCCAACAGCTGCAGCCAGGCGAGACCCCCAACTACTGAAAACCATCAACTCCACCGCTTCCTCCTCATCCTCTATTTTATCATCTATTTGCTTCTTTTTTTCTCAGCTCATTCATCATCATCGTGTTACTTAATCTTCACTTCAATAACAACCCGGTGCGAATTTCATTCTTTCGGAAATCACCGCGATCGACAAAGATACGTTCACTTTCCTTCTCTCACACAGTCAAAAGCACACAAGCACACGGACCATCACACAAAAAAAATTAAGAAACAAAGAAAGAACCAAAAAAGCTTTTCCTATTATCATTTCGACTAACTTAACCGAACTGTTCTGCTAGATTCCCTAAGCACCAACGAATAGACCCCAATCCATCGGGCGTTACGTGCTCGGTGCTTTCGTTTTTTCTGCAGATACCCATTAACCCGATCAGTTAATCAGTACCCAGTTTTTCCGATAAAGACCAATAACACGTAAGAAAAACTGTTCGGTGCTACTAGCAAGCACAACAAAGCCATTCACTTAAATACCTCTAAGCGTACCCAGGGTTAGAGTATCGTATATCTTCCAAGTACAGCGTGACCCGGAACGACGTCATCGAACAAAATGAGTACGCTCCATCTTTAATCAAATACAAAATCTTTCATTAGTAATCCGCAATAGTATTGGACAATAGTACTCAACAGGCAATAATAAGGCCATTATGTAATCGACCTAGCAAAAAACAGCCGGCCACATGAAGTCCAATGGTGGTGTGTAGAGCGCACAAGCTTTTGGCGCTCTAAGAACATAACCTGAGGGGCTATCGTGGGACCGGTGGCCATGACACCAGCGTTATAGTGGTTATGGCGGTAATGTAGCCGTCTCCACGCATCTGTTACATGTTGAATGCCTGTCACGCATTGTATTGTTGTAGTTACTGCATACCTTCGTCGGTTTCGCTTGTTCATTAAGACGCGGTAAGCCTAAATGTTACAACGGTTTTGCAGTGTTGTCAAATATTGTTGGTGCGGTTGTTTCTGTAGATTGCTTACTGTTGCTGTTAAGGTAACTTTCTGCCATTTGTTATAGGTAGATGTTCGTTGTGCTTGTCCTATATTTATAATATTACGTAGAATTAATTATCTATCTATACTTTGGTGTAATCATGGCAGAGTTTGTTTTCTAAACCCTTAGGGTGGGAATGCTACCGGACTTGAGGTTGTTTTTGGAAAGGCGATATTGAAAAGGGGTGTTCTTCTATTTAGAAGAATTTGCATCCAAGGTGAAGTGCCTGCACCGCATATTCTGCCTCCTAGATGACCCGACTTATTTTGAATGGTCGAGGCGGAAGGCATGATCCGAAAACAATCGGGCAACACTCCTGTTATCATTGTTCTGGGAACAGACGACGCATCACTTTTAAGGCCAATTCAAATGGAGATACCTATTCTTACTATTTAGAGTAAATCTAGGGAGCGGAACTCGCGATGAAGACGCTTGACTTTGGACTCCCGAAAGAGGGCGTTTACCCCTCTCTCTACCACCCTTGAAAAACAACTTCATGTTTAAAGGCATTCTCACCTTGAAGAGAATAAAAGCTCTGCCATAGTTACACCGAAATATATCGCTGGAAGTTATATTCACTCGAAAGGTCAGAGCCCACATTGCTGCTCGATCAAATGTTTCTCTCATCTCTTACACAACTTGGGAACGAACGCGATCGGGCTGTTGGTCGAGCAACTATTGCTGCTTGTCACTATAGCAGACGAAACACAGGTGAACAGGTTGAGGACAGGCATGGAGGCCTACGCACCGTTGACTACGACGGGGGAGGCAGTGGCTGCTTGCGGTTGCGCTGGATCTTGCTGTCCCTGGACGACTTGTCCCGGCACGACGGCCGCTGCGCTTGCATTGGCAGGTACCATTTGTGGAGGTGACGGTGATGCCCCGTTTGATACGTCAGGTAGAGGCCAAAACGTTGGCCGATCGCGCGTCCGCAACTTAACATCATCCCTGAGCTCAAGTTGGGTCGACTCCTTCACCGCCTGAAAAGTGGATTTATCCGATTACAAATTGACAATTCAAATGATCCGAAAATTTCCGATCATAGGAAGCTATTTATAACAACCCATGATAACGCGCGTCAGCCGCGTTATGTTCTTTTATGAAATGACTTTCACTTCCCAAGAAAACGATGCCTAGGTTATGAGTACGCATAATGCCATAATATATGGGTTTCTGTTACCTTTATGAAGAGGCTGATATCTTGGGTGAGAGCCTGTATCCTGTGAAAGCCTGCAATCAGACTTACTGGCAGGAATCCTTCAGGATCCATTTTACGACGAAGGAAGAAATCTCTCTGCAAGTTTTCTTCACTGAAATAGTACTCGACCTGCTTGCGAATGTACTCCTTGAGCGTTGCTTCGTCCACTGAAACCGCACGTGCACCATATCACCAAATAAATTGACTTTAAGAAGTTTGCGACAAAATAATGGGGTTTTTAGTGTAGAGAAAATATAAAGAGTCTGTAGAATAAAGCTTAATAGCTCTCGGAAATACTAATATATATATTAATATTTGATATTATATATATATATATATATATATATATATATATATATATATATATTTTTTTTTTTTTTATACTTGTTCTGTGTACGCTAATCTAATAGAACTATGAAACGATCGGGTCGAACACATGTAGCTACGACACGGAAAAAGAGGTCACAGGTAGGTGAGAGGCATCACGCCCATGATACAAATGGTAGAAGACTATGGAGAATTGATAGAATCATCTGGTTCTGGATATTTAGTGTCTAACCTTATCGACTCTCGTATGACCACCATATCACCGTTAAGCATTAAGCTCATGCACTGAGTATTTTCATCTGTATTACCTAAATATTTTAATTGGTCTTCATGGAAAGACTAATTTTGCGTATACTGGACTGGCGTATATAGGACTGCGTAAACTTAGTTTAACCAAAAAAACAATTTTACCTATATCCGTATTGTTTACTATTCCGATCAACTTTCAGTAGTTTCAGCAGTCGGAAGTACCGAACGTTTAATCTAATATCCGTTAAAAATACCTGCGTAGAGAAAAGACAATGGCTCTTCAAACACGCACAGGTGTTCTTATATTGTTGTCACACACATTTTGTCATTATGGGGGGATAACGTTGTGGCTACTTGCTGCTGGCCAATTAACTGGTTGGATTAGTAATTAGCGGTAAAGCGATGCTACCAAAAGCTCGTAATGTCTGCTACGGAAAAATCTGCTCCAAGCACTCGCGGCCATAGCTTTCTGGTAAAGGCCAGGTAAACATATCCACACATTGTCGTGACCCTTTCTTCCACGTGTGCCGCCAGTACGACGCGGTTGGCAATCCACGAGGCGATAGCAGCCACAGAAAAGCTCAGTCCTTTGTGGTAGCTTTGTCCAACTTTAGATCATCACTTCTCCATTACTGAATAGCCAAGGACTCGAAGCAGCAGCAGCAGCAACGGCCGCACAATAACTTCTGCCAATCTGCCTACGGACGACCCATGTTATAATGTGCTAGTTCGCAACACCAGAACAGTCGCTACAGGTTACATACGCAACACAACATGAACCAGTAATCTTAGCACCAGCATGGTTGCTTTAAGTCAAGCACAGAAGCTCATTTCGATTGGGAGCTTCTTAGCTCTATGAGCTATTTCTGGCAAATTCGCAGGCTAAAACGGTTCTCCACAAAATGTCCTAGATTTCGTCTTCCAGAAGCAAACACACAGCATTGGCACTGGTATTTGCCACAAAAAAAGCTGTCATCTTTATGCCGTCATCTCGTTTTTAATAACGTAAAACAAATACAGAATTCACAGAACTGGTACTCACTGAGATAAGATGCACCGAGAAATCCATATCTTGCACCAGGCACTTGAGCGATTGGCGATGGCGCTGGGCCGTTCGGGGCCGCGGCTCCTCCCGCAACAACAACGGCGCCACCTAGGGGAGCTGCAGCAATGAACTGTCCAGTTGGAGGTGGCGATGGAGTTAAAGGTAAACGCGGAGGTATGATCGGCACCAGGAAACTCGGCGAAACTAAAATTGCAGGACGTTCAGCCAGCAAAAAACGAAACCAAGCGAAGACCGTTCAATAAGGTCCAATTGAGAGTTTGCCACAAGATAATTGATGAAAACAATCATTAGGTTCTCGTCTAGTTACATAACTGATTGACATTTGCTGCATGATACAGAGCCATAATGGCCCTTTCTTTTATCAAAATTACATCGGTTAACGGGAATTTCCTTGCTAGAACACCCACACAACAGCAACGATAACAATTTCTGTTCACGTAGATTGACAGGTCATACCGGACGTGTGGCAGCTGTACGTAACAGCAGTGGTATGAGGTAACCATCGGTTTCGTGCACATATATAGAAAACATTTTAATGGGAACATGTTTACCTTCAAGATTCTCCGCAGGCGACTGTTGTTGGCCTCCGGGAGGAACGATAACGCCTCCTTGAGCGGCGATGGCGGGTCCCCGAACCCATACCCCTTGAGAGGATCTACCGCCTCTGCCACGGCCTCGACCTCGGTAACCTGTCCGAGGACCTGAAACAGCTCCCCGTCCTGACGACTCCCGTTGCTGATTTACGCCAGCCATGTGTCCACCGTTTCCACTGGATCCTCCTCCATTCATCAGATTTCCACCGGTGATAGCCGATCCGAGTGCCGCTTGATTCAAAGATCCAGCACCTGGTAGAGGCGACGCACCGTTCGTTGCTTGCCCTGAAGTCAGCAGTGAAAAAAACGGCGTGCTATTGTGATACTCTGTAGATGAATATCGATAAAAAAGACGCTTGTAAAAAGAGCACGCTTAGTAGCTGCCCTTAACGCTGGGCTAGTAATAATAACCTACACTGAACAGCAAGTGAAGTAAGCAAACAAATCGATAAGTCCCCGCAGTTCTCCATATGAGAAGTCTGAATATATTAATACTTACAGCTACCATGTTGTGGCTGCTGTCGATTATTACTACCGAGGTTAGCACCCGCTTGTTGCTGCGGCTGGGCTTGCGACCCGCTGCTGCTGCTGCTTGACTGGACGCTTCCGGCAACGCCAGACTGGTTTCCTCCGTGACTAAAAGCGGTGCCGTAATTGTTGCCGGCTTGGCTATTTGACTGGTTTTGTGCGGTATTATGATGACCACCGTGAGGGTGATTGTGCGCACTACCGTGGACATTTTTATGTCCCGAACCCATCCCTCGTTCGGTCCTGTCACCCCGTTCGCTTCTGTCACCCCGGTAGCCCCCCTCTCGCCTGGACTCTTTGCCTCCCCGACTTCCACTAACCGGCTCGATAGCCAGAGGCACCCACTTTGGCTTGGCACCTAAAGCAATGACAACAAAAAATGACAGTGAATCGCATGGTCACCTGCTAGTTAGCTACGTTAGAATTACAGAGGAATGCATGAATGGCGATATTTACCAAATATTCTCGTATCATCTATCAGGTAACCTGCCCAAAACTAACCGGCAACAGCTTCGTTGGTCTCAAAATGAAGTGCTCGACGGTAATGCACAACCTCCTCCTTTTGTATCATTCACGGTCCATATCGAAATAGACGGAATCGAGCAGTGACGTCAAATGTTTTCCTAATGATTCCATGTATTTAAATTCGGTTTTGATCGCTTATACTTCCTAAAGAGGGCAGTAGATCACGTAAGGTACCCTGTCCGTCGATACTTTTAATCAACTTACTGATGGCAAGACCCAGTATAATAATGCAAATCACTTGCACAGCTATTGAAAAGCTTCCAGAGCGCTGCTTTCAAGCAAAGAGTAACAAGGATTATTTAACATTAGCTAAATATTGTTCGTATCATACTTAGCACAGCTCAAATGTTTGACATTAATGAAACATCAACTTTTCGTCTTTTACCCTTCCGCTAACTTACCCTTCTTCTTGTTGACAGAAAAGCTGCTATTGTTGCCCCCAGCTCCGTTGTTATTCCCTCCAATGTTGTTGTGACTACTGGCTGAGTTCGCGCTGCTTGCCGAGTTGACGTTGCTTCCAGCAGCGCTAGCTGTGTGCGTCACGTTTCCTCCGTGCGCTGAACCATGGGACGTTCCTCCTCCTTGAAGGCCCTTTGTGTTACTGCCGCCCCCACTAGCACAGCTATTCCGGAGGCCGGCCGAGTCGTGGCTGCTCATATCGTGATCCCCGTTACCCCGATCGCCGCCCCGATCACCTCGATCGGGGGCCTTCTCACTGCGTGACCCTCTGGTCTCCCTGCTGCTTCCCGACTTCGGAGACGCCACAACACTACCGTTTGAAGAGGCAGGATTGCTGCTAAGTGGCTCATCGGCCACGACTTCGCCGAGAGTCGGCCACTCCGACATCGCCGACGTCGAAGTGTTCACGCCCTGCGACACGACCACGCCCCCTCGGCTGCCTCCTGGGCTGCTGCTATGCTGACTGCTCCGATGGACACCAACACTGTTGTCCTCTGAAAACATTCAACGACAAATGCAACCATGAGTTAATCCGAAAAGTGACGACTAAAGAAAATTATAAATATCGTTAGCGGCGCTCCCTCATCAAACCATGCGTCGCGACATCACACAGGTTATTGCACGGACGTCTAGCTTCGACCAGCTTAGTTCAAAGTGGCTTCAGTTACCGAACAGATCCACGAACGAAACGTACAAACAACATCTCATGTATTTTCATCGGATTGTCAATATTATACATTATTTGAGAACAATTCTGAACACGCTTACCCTTTCTACTCATACAGCATTCTCTCCGAGCCATAACGCATTGCTTCTATACATGCGTACCACTAGATTAAGCTCTCAGGTTGATCTGTTGAGTTCTCATGGTATCCGATATCAGTCTGTCATTTGCTCATCTACAAGTTCTGATGACTTTAAGGCCCATGACGAAAACTATCTTGATGAACATGATATGCAATTAGCGATTGACTGCGAAACTAGGCTACCTGTGCCTTGGATTGAGCACAAAAACTACGTATGCTATTTCACTATAATATTTCGTTTTCGAAAGGTAACAATGATCAGAAAGGCTCAATTTTTAACGTACCATAATACGTAGCTGCGGCTGTGCAGTTTTATGTCTTGAGAAGAACAGCTGAGCTAATTAGTTAAATTTATCACGAATCACCAACCTCGTCGTTCAGCAGCTATGACGAGAAAAACATTTTCGTATAAGACCCCTCTACTATAATAAACCGGGCTCAAATCATCGTGATGGCCTGGAACACTAACCATGTAAGCTAGAGGTCTCTAATTGAAGCCATTCGCCTGCACCGGAACACCGAACGAAACCCACACTACTCTTTTGCGTGTACGCAAAAATTAACTTAAACCATCCGAAAACACAACGATGTGCAGCTTGGTATCAGATATTATTTTCTGTTCGGTTTGGCATTTAATTTAAAACGAAAGCTTAGTTCGAAGCTTAAAGATCTGTCGCCAACGTCCAAAGCTACACAAATGTATCTCGAGATATTGTAACAAAGCGAACGTTATTGTTCAGGTCTGCCATGCAAGCCATGTATCTAACGTGCATGTGTTTCAGCTAATATAGCGTATTTCCAATAGGTTCACAGTTACTTTATCGTCATCGTCAGTACAACGAAATAAAACTAACGCTCTGTTTTCGATCTACTTCTGCGACGCGTTAAAAACAGTACCCATTGACATGATCCGTGGACGAAGCAAGAACCACTCTACTACTCTAAAACATAACCATGCTATATATTTCATGGGCTATGAAATTAAATAAAATATCCATTGACACTTCAGCGCGGACGCACGGATCGGCTTGATGCTTCATAGACAACTCAATGACTTCAAGTGTGTAACGCAAACGCCACTCAATCCCTTAACTCACGATTCAAATGACAGCCCTTTCCACCTAAAAACGGACACCCAGCTTAAAGAAAAGAAGATCCCAAATCCTTCAACCATTATAAATTGAAATTTTATCATAATAGTCATGAATCTTTCACATACGTGAGCCACCACGACAAATTAGAGAGCCGTTGCCGTAGAACTTGAAAACGACAACATATTTAAGTCACAAGGTGTACGAGCACCTCTTATTGTTGCCTTCTCCCCATTCTTGTCATAAGCCAGTTTTTGTTTGTTGTCCAAACCAGCACTAGCAGCAGTCTACATATGGACCTGTATATCCGATGCACTGGTAAGCAACTGGAGAACTACTACAGCTTAGGGCGCACTTAACTCCACTCGGTCAGACCGTATGGAAAGCCGAACAGCTTGGCAGCAATAGGCGACAGCAGCGCTGCAGATCCACTCAACCCTAGCGCAACTAGACTTGCTACAGACACGAGTTACCTAGAAGCAACGCCTAAATTCGCATTTGGAGTAGCGACTGTCGTCGTCTCTCCATTAATGGCAACGGCTTTCGCTGCTGCAAAAACTGGCTGCTATGGAGAACAAGCAGGGTTAATGATCGTGGCAAGCGCAATAACAGTACGCAGCCATCTTGATTCTAATTTCTGCTGGAAACACGTTCAACGAGTAACACGACGACACAGGGTACGCCAGCACCTACGGCGAGTGACAAGCTAGCAGTATATCTAGACGAACTGCGCACTACCGCTAGCTTGATCGATCAAACTAGCAGTTCCTTTTCGTTGTTGTAGACCTTGTTCCTTTGTTGTTTTCGTTATCGCTCATTAACATCGACGTTACGCCAGTGCTACTGGTCGTATGTAACAGCTGGACAAGCAGTGCCACCACTACAGCAGAGCAGCTGGTGCTGCACCGCCGCTGTTCTCCTTCGATAGGTCGACGATCAAAACAATTTCAGAGTGCGGAGCCCGCTGGAGACGAACAGGTGGTCCTTCGTGCGGCCATATTGATTTTCCGTGCTTGCCGCACCGACGAGTGCGAGTGCCACACTAGCGAAAACAAGAACTTCTTGCAAGATGGTCAAATCTTTTTTTTGTTGAAGCCGGTAAATGCGAAAATTGTTTAAGTTACAGCCAACCTACAAGCGCGCCAGCAAAATCTCAGACCTTAACGCATCAACGAAATCGCTCTACTTCGGTTGTAAGTCATCCTCTCTCTTGCTTACCATTGATAGTTAAAGCACCCGCATGTAGGCCTCATTGTTATCTGGCTTTAGTCAGTTGAGGTGGCTTTCGGTGGCCGATCAAATCATCATTAGCAGAATTTGCACTAAGTCTAGTTCAGCCCAGGATGGGTACAGGCAAGCCCTGTGGGCAACACCGGCGACCTCTCCCTAGTGCTCGTTGCGCTACTGTCGCTGCCTGAGCGAAGGTCAGGCTTGTTACTCTTAAATGCTAGCGCGTACACTAGAAGAATTAGGTCTGCTCTCTTCTAGCAGCCAACTAGATCCATGTCTCTCCATATGCTCCCTGCATTCCGCCGCGATAGGTTCGTTAACTCTCCTACCATGTTCCACAACCTGCCGATGTGCCTGGCTTGACCTGATCGCCCGTGCCGTATGTATGACCCAAGTGGACAGACGGATGGTCCGATAGGGGCCAGTTAGCCAGATTGGCAGCCCATAGCAATAGATGTTTGTCACAAGTCTTCTTCGTGAGCCGCTGGTGGACCATGATACTGATCGCAGATGCTGTATCCATGACAAGCGGCGTAGTTGTAAAATCAGATATTGTTACCACGCATAAGTTATCTACCGTGGGGCATATTTGGAGCAATTGGAGTCGCCTTCAAATAGTTCGTGGCTTCTGTTTCGGGATATTCGACGGCAGTAATAACACTTATTAGGCAAATTACTTCAATTTGGCAATAAGCATAATTTTTACTGGTGGCCTACTAGAGGGTCCTTATTCTTGCTTTTGGCTTATATAGAAATCCGAGAGATATCAAACACCAATTCGAAAAATTTCATTAAGCTATCAATAGGAAGATGCTTCATGATGCAAAACAACCCGTATGGTGAATGTCAGCAAAACATTACACTTATGGATTACATGATAAGGTTACGAGTGAAAATGGTTCAATGAAACCTCTCCGGTTGAATGCGAGCTTACCGTTAATATTGTAAACATTATCGTGGCTGGCAACTTCAGAATATCCATTACATTCCAACTGAAACCAACATCAACCATAACTGTTACCGATCAACATTAAAAATGAATAAAAATAATCGTTTACAGTCAACTATCGTTGTTCCTCCTTTAGATATTTTGATAATAGCTTCGTTCAATGATGACTAGATTTCAACCAATCAGTCCTCGACAATTTAAATTTAGATACTTTCGTTACTTTTACATGAGGATAATCTTTAGAAATGAAATAATTATCTTTAACTACGAAAAAAATTACCCTAGAAAGGCGTTTGTTCTAAGGTTCGTCTTTCCACGACTTTTAACTCACGTTCGTTGAGACTCGTGCTCATAAAACTACGCCTTCAGTTGTCTCCTGCGCTTATTGTTAGTCATGTAATACATAAATTTTACTTAAAAAAAAACTTACCCTGTTATAATCGCCGGAGATATGGCTGTTCGAGGCAAGGAAAGCTTTCTGAGAGGATGATTTTGCGTCAATCGACTGTAAAGCAGCTGTAAGAAGAAATCGAACGTTTGATTGGAGGCTTATTTTTCGAGCTGAAGACAAATGCTTCTTGACCCATATAACAGCTTCGATACCGTATACCTCTTTTAGGGATGCTTCAGCTCGAAATTCTTAAAGTGTTGTACAGTGCTCTAAATAAGGTCTGCGTAAAATCTATAAATCTTCAGTCGACGATGAAAGCAACAGTGTACAATTTAAATTATCTCACCATAACTGAAATTATAGAATTACTTAGCACTTTGTTAGCTCTCCTCAAAACTAATATACCTAATAGAATTAGCTGACTCCTTCGCTGCTTTTGGCTTTTGATCTAGTTGATACATCGCTCTTCATTTTATCCACGAACATCAAAAACGGAAATCGAAACGTGGCAAAGAACAGCGTATTATCTTGCACCAATGGGCCTGTTTGACACCATAATTTTTAGCATATCCCATCTTAATTAGAAGAGCCGTTGTTGCAAAGTACTGCTCCAAAAGGCTGGCTCGCAGCGTGAAACAAAGTAGGGTTATGGCTACCTGGTTGGTCTCAAACTCAGACTACCTCAGGTGACCCTCAGAGCTTTTACGTACCTCGAGAAAATATTTCAATCTTGTGTTTTGCAGAGGTTGAAACCTTATAGCACTGAACCCCATGAAGATCTTACCTGTAAAATGCTTCAGCATTTTACTTCTTGTTGGTTAGCGTAACCACAAGAAAACATTACCACTGCTAACATTCATACCTACCTATTATTCCCGAATATACAACCTATTTGCAAGCAAATTCACGGTGATGTTCCACGGTAACGGCGGCTGTGTGCTTCATATCATATACAGACATTTGCTAACTTGCTGCCATTATTGGCTCTATCTGATCAAACTGAGTGGTTTTGTTATTGATCAAGACGCATTGCAGTGGATCGCGCGCTTTACACCAATAGCCAGTGCAACGGGCCGCACAAGGAAGATCGTGCATATCCGCGCACACGCTTGTAGAATCTTCAATCAAGCAATGAGAATCGGCGGTAGTGTACTGTATATCAATGGTAATAAGCGGCTTGTCAGATCGCCCGCCCGTAGCCATCGTCCAACTAAACTTGGGTTCAAGTCAAAAGGAGGCGGTCGACCGTCCAGAGCCGATGGCGTATAATAATGCTGGATTTCTTGTCGTTCTACCCCCAACACGATCTCCCTTACACAGCGAGCGCGGCGCCCTCCTGCTAAATCGTCAGAACACAGTATCCGGGGGATACAGGGACGTTATCCGGCCTCATGGCGCTGGTTGGTCCACTACCGTCACGAGGAGAATAGAGAAACCGGTGGGACAATTATCGTCTCACGCTACGTGTGGCAAGTTAAATAATACAAACCAGGCGGCCAAGCAAGCAACAGCCTCAGGGCTGATCAGCCACACATTGTTTCAACTAATCGTGCCAAGAACAGAGGCCGTACCGTCAAATAGGTAACAAAAGCTACAAACAACTACCGCGCAGGATGGTGATGAATCATGGTGCAAAAACACCAGCTTTACGCCAGTATGACAACCTAACATCTTGATCTCCTTAGGTTTCTATATCGTTTACTGTCGCCGTTTCAAAGTACATTAGTATTAGGCAGAAGGGCCGGTGAAGTCACGAAGGTGCAGAGATCTGGTTTGTAAAAAAACCCTGTGGCCTAATATAACGTTATGGGCGCTACTATAATAATCGTTATTGAAATCAAGAGTTATTTACTTTTAGATTAACGCAATAATTTATAACGGCTAATAACTACTGCGAAAATACTTCCAGTGTTGTAGAGCATTTTCCATGTTCTTGGCGTAAATTTCAGCCCACTACTTACAAACTTCCTTAATATTGAAGGCAGGCTGAAAATATGCTTCATTTCAAGATTTCAAGCGACTTGGGTTAGATTAGTTGAGGCGCAAATTCAGTGGCCATCTTTCATGGTTTACGCAGGTTTTCAACATGCTCCACAAAGCCGGCTGCTAAATTAACTTTCAAACATGACTGTGTCATTGCTTTGTTTTTCTGGTTCGTTTACATGTCAAGTTCAAAGAAAGGTCTCTCAACATGGGCGACTTTTGACTATTTCTAGCGATTCACAGTGAACATTAAAGCTGGCGCGACGACTACTCGTCATTCGCTCTGTATAAATATCTCAAGACTATTAATTGCTTGTTATTGAAGTCATAAAATTACCCGCAGTCGTAGTTAACCCGATACGATTATGACCCGTAACCAAGATGTAACAAAAGTTGTGTCACCTCCATATAAACGACTAAATGAAATTGAGTGGGTGCTCACAACACGTCACCATTCTTCAGCTTGCGAGGTTGCCTACGGGCATAATCAAGAGGTTAATCGGTCTATTTCGATAACGATTGCCCAGAAGCATTTGTCAGTAAAATGAATCGTTACAAACAGATGGTTTTGCGTGCCATAACATTTTTCCCAGGGCATTTACGGGCGAAGACCGATGCCCGCTAAGCACAGCGCGTACGATCAAGCTATCATGGTTTCCTTTAATGCAAACATTTCTTACTTATATTAACTAATGGTATGTATACTCATTTCAGCGGATTGCTATTAAATGAAAAAAAAAAATACTTACTAGTAGTTCCCTGATGGCCGCTTGTTTGTTGCTGTTGGTGCGTTGTCGCCGATGCTATTCTTCGATTCGAACCCGTGTTACCGTTGGCATTGTTGTTGATGCCTCCTATCGATTTGTTATTATTATTACTGCTACTCTGATTGCCGTTTCCGCTGTTGTTGTTACTGCTACTGGTACCACTCTGAGGTAAGCTGATATTGACACCGATACTTTGTTGGGCTTCTTGCTGCTGCTGTGACTGATTGATTTGTGGCGGATTTGCACTAGCGCCCGAGGCGGTATTGTTCTCTTTCGAGTTGGCACTCGTAACGGGATGACTGGCGCCGGTTGACGTCGACGCCGTCGAGGCGCCACGCAACGCGTCAGGGAATCCACCGGCACCAACAGCAGCCAAAGGTGTACTATAAATTGCTTGTTGTTGCTGCTGCTGTTGCACCGATTGTTGCGCTGACGACTGTTGCTGCTGCTGCTGCTGCTGCTGCTGTTGCTGCTGCTGCTGTTGCTGCTGCTGTTGGGCTAATTGTTGGCGCTGAGCGATCACTTGAGCGGCGTTGCGGTTCTTGGTCCACGGATTAACAAGTGGTGGGGGTGCACACACGAACGTATGCTGCTGCTGCTGCGGTATCGTCGTCGTGTCGTCATCTGTCCGCAGCTCTTTCCCAGCAGCTGACGTCGTGTTGGAATCTCTGTTGCCAGGATGGCTTTGATGAGATTGCTGATGATAATGGGCATGGTGATGGTGGTCTCGGTTATGGTGGTGATCATTTTTGTTACCTCCTACTGTCTGGTCCCCTCGGTCGCTAGCTTCACTCGCACGAGATGAAGGCCGTTCGGGCCGGTTTCTTCGTCGGTCTTTTCGCTGATTTCCGCCGCCGCCTCCTCCTCCTCCGCCGCCCCCACCGGCGTCGCCGGCGTTGTGCGCCTTACTACCGCCTGACCCCGAGTTACCAGTGTCTTTTCGAGGCGGTTTACCATTCTGATGTTTGTTTGTGCTGCTGCCTGTATTGTTATTATTATTGTTGTTGCTGGCATGCTGATGCTGAGACTGTGTGCCCCCAGCAGGGACCTGAAGCTCTTCAGAGGCCATGGCGGCTACCTTGGTCGTCATGGAGCTTCCGTGGGTTATAAAGCTGTCAGTCTTTCAGTTGCGCTCCAACAGACGCACCACAACTAGAACACGTAGACCAATTTTCAGCACCTTGCGTGTGATGTATATTAATAACAGCCAGTTAAGTCCCTCGTAGACGTTGGCTTTTTTCTTTCTTCCCGAAACGTAACTTAATATCGCCGCAAAATTCACTTTTCAGAGTGAGATTGTACGTCGACGCGTGCGATAACAATATAATGACGGAACGATCGGAGTACTTAGTTTTCTTACTTATGATGAAATGTTCTTCCACGGCGGTTTTACGATGGTAATAGCAGTAGCACTACTACGAAACGGCAATGATCACCAGTACTGTAGAGGAAATGCACTTATGGATTACGATCACAGATAGCAAACAGTATGAGAGATAATGAGAATAGCCGCCCGCTTGTAATTATTCAGCGGGACAAAACAAGAAGGTGTCGAAGAAAGCTTGTGGCTGACAGAAATAGGACCACAGGTTTACGTCGCTGCCTGCGGGAAACGCGACCTGCTGGGTATGTAGACCGTACCTTGTCTCACCAAAAGATTCTACTGTCTCCTTAAATCCCCTTGTACTTGGTTGGACTCGATTTCTTGTTACGCTCGTATTTTCAGCTTTTTTTGTTATTTTTTTATCAGCTTCAAATGAGCTTCCCCTGTTCTCACACGGGGCTTACATGTACTATAATAATTCTTATTTATTATAATTATTTGTATTATTATTATTTTTTTAAGGTTGTACTTCACCGAAAGGATGGCAGTATGGTCACTTGTTGCAACACTTAATGGCGATATTGATATATTCGTTTGACTTGTAATGTTCTTTATACATTCCTTTTCTCGTGACAAACAGCAAATTGTTTCTTTTCTAAAGGAGCCCGTGTATTCGACACCAATAGCCACACGGTTAACGTATATATATATATATATGTGTGTGTGTGTGTGTGTATGTATATATATATATATATATATATATATATATATATATGTATATATCAATTCACACGTAGCGTATGTACGTGTATATAGCCCCCACGGCTAGTCCCTTTCTTCTGCAACTATTTTTTTTCTATCTCTTTATTTGGGTTGCACGGAACCCTTCACTCTTCAAACCGTTCCTTTTTTGAACTACTCCACTCCTTCCGCACCAAGTCTCACACTCTCACGACAATCACAGAACAGCCGCCCTGCGAGGGCATCAGCTCACCTGAAACAATACAAAGCGCAGCACAAACAAAAAACATTAGTTATAGGTCTTATACCTAGCATATTTTTAAATGTGCTTTACAGACATGCGTCTCGAGATAGCACGACACGATAGGAGTAAAAACGAGCCTAACGTAGGACACGTAGTCGCTGATAATAAGTGGCAATATAGTGTATCGTATTCTACATGCTAACAACAACCAACGCCGGGTGACATTTTCCCTCACAACAAACCCCATCTCGTACTGCAGATAGCCGCGCCATGAAAAACAGCTTTTTTGAAACTGTTCTTTGTCTTGCCAACAGGGCGCTCCGTACCGAACACACAATAACCGCCCGTAACTTCTATGTACCTCTACAAATTCATATGAACTTGGCTACCTTCTATCCATCACAAAATGCATACTTTGCAAACAAAAATCATTCGGGCGCCTGTTTCAGCAGGATTACCCTAGCCAATTGATGAACCTAAGAAAAATGTAACCATAATCGATGTGTGTAACTGTTGCAGCGACCAATGGGAAACCCCAGTAGGTAACAATGAAGCTTTACACGTAAGTAGCATAATCAACAACAACGGCAGCCATCGGCGAGCAAGGAGGTCGTAGTATCCTTTACAGATAATCGCCTCCTCCAGGCAGGTCCTTTCCTCCGGAGCTTTCAGTATGTTGCGCGAGAACCCACATCACCATCCGCCACCGTCGACGCGACCATCAGCTACTGCCGTTCTCTATTAAGAGGGCTGAATAACGCAGCACGGCAGTTGCCACTCGATAAAAACATCAATACTGATGCCGGTTACGTAATACTGACTCACATCGGGTAGAGAGAACAAACTGCAGTTGTAACAGCACATGCGTAGCCATCTGTTTCTGCTGGAGGTCAGTAGGATCCACAGCGGCATAGCTACGCTAGCAATAGAAACAGCCATTGGCATTGTCGGCCCCTTGAGGCAAATTGTCCCTGCCGCTGCCTCCACAGCTAGAAGTGCAAATCCGTGCCGATGCTGCTGTTACTAGTCTCTTCTCACAACGAAAGACACAGCAGTTCGAAGCGACCCGCGCAACTACTACTCGCCTACTTTTTCACTTTCTGTTCCTCTCTCGGCCGACGATTATGGTGACGATGATGCTCGTTGTATTGGTGTTAACTCACCCTCGTCGATACATAGGCCGGGCCATGAGGTTGAAAGTACCGAATAGCTAAGAGATCCCAGACATACGCCAAGCACACGACCCCGCTACTCTCCATTCGATGTCAGTATCACTCTTTGAGCGCAGAGATCATAGCGGGTCACATGCATGCAACCAGCGCATCGATAGTCTCTTCTCTGACAGAGTCTGTTTAGCTTGCTGTTTCATGCGGAGAGCCAAAGTATGGCAGAAAGCAACAAGCAAACAGGCGTGCGTCGCACGCTAGGGAGCCGGCAGCGATAGCAACGAGTGACGAAGCAAGCAAAACGCCCAGCAACGCAGGGCATTCATTGCACAACGAACAACAGCAGCACATAACGGCTGGCCATAGAGTCAAGCGGTGGCAAGGACCAAGCGAAAGAACGGTGCTGGCTGTCGTCGTATCGTAAGTTGTCAATGCTGAGTAATAATATAGCAAAGCGCAACTTTGAGAAAAATGACGAAGTCTCCGCAATAGGGTTGAAAACGAGAGGAAAAAAGAAGCAGTAATAGCACCCGAAGACCAGCAGGCTCGCGTAGCCGCACAGCTGGCAAGCACAACGTCCAATAAAATCTAGTGGTACGGCACTTGGCGGCTCGGCGACTTTAGCCAGTTAGAATAAAAAGAACTCTCGCAGATTGCTACTGGCATCGGTACTGCTTCTGCTGCTTCGTATTCGTGTGTTTAAAAGCGTAGCGCCCGTCAGCGGGGCTGATGTTGGTGCCATCTTCCTCCTCGACAAGGAAAAAAAAGCCCATTTTAGGTCTGGATGTCACAGGGAGGCCACTAGTCTGTTACTAGCCAGCCACCACAGAGGCAAACAGGCTTGCACATACTAGTGAAGTAAATGGTAGAAGTACCAGTAGCAATGACCGAAATTGTCGGGAGCTAGAGAAAACCCGAACAGCACACGCAAGTAAAATACTCGGTCGGTTGCCGCTATATTGTTGGCAAGCACAGTGACGACGACGCGCAGATACAGAGCTTCGGGACATATGAACAGTATAAAGTGGCGGTCAATACAAAGGACAAGACCGTGCAGGTTAGCTGAGGGCCAGAACAGAACCGCACAACTTTAGCGTATGCCACTCGAGACTGGTACTCATGAAGAGAGGAAACCAGATCGCTTGTCCTTCCCACCATAGCGATCCCAGTTTCTGCTCACTAATCGACGAAACAGGAGACAATGGGAGAAGATCAGAGGCCACCGAGCTATGGCGTTAACAGCAGTCACTGGTTGTAGAACGAGTGCTGTTAGAGTTTCTGACAGCTCTTCGCATGGTGTGCGGACCACGCACATTCTGGAGGCGGATACTAATTCTAACCGCTGCAGCTATGAGTGCTATTGCTATCACAACTAGCGGTACTATTACGGGAAAATAGCAGGTAACAGAGCGGACAGCTGACCTAAAAGATCTGCTTGTAATACAGTAAGCGATGGATGCAGCATTAGGTGCAAGGCTCGTGTACAAGGCCTGCATCGTATTAAATCCAGAAGTAAGAAAAAAAATGTTTTGCCATTACTGTTGTTTCATTTTTGTCAACAGAAGTTATGACGCCAGATAAATCTCATCTCGCAATGACTTGGAAATTAGCTATACCTGCTAGAAGATATGACATACGTGATAACTGTAATTACTAAATAACTTTCTTGGCTGTATCTTTAACACATTTTTATTTAAACTAATCGAAATTATTTCCAATATCAAAAAATTATTTGGATTCTAGATGTTACAGACAAAAGCCGATAATCCAGATTGTTACCGCAGTGAGGTCCTGCCTATCGAAATCGTTTGTGCTAACTTTTTGCAAAACACAATAGGGAAAACATATATTAAAGGTATGATACTTGCTAATAGCGCTCAAGAACCTCAAGCTACGTCCAGCGGATTATTAAACCCCAGAAGACAGGCACAGAATCGTTTTAATAATGTAAATTGGCAACATTTAGGTCTCCGATTTCTGACACTTGACCTGATCTTTCGCTCTTTTTCATTTGCTCATGTCTCATCATACGGACGCACACCTCGAACGCCCTATTATTTACCACAGAAATACTGTACAGCTTTAATTACCGATTATTAATTCTTTCTCATCAGTTACTGTTCTTTGACCAATATTATATTCCTCATTGTCGTACTCTGCCGACAACGTAAGAGAACAAGACGTCTACATTTATCTGAATCCACAAAAGCACGCTAGGTAACAAGGCACGATGAGAACCATCGACACGCACGTCCGCACACTACATGATGATGAAGCTGATAGCGATGATGAAGCTAATGGCGATGATGACACTCAACGAAACAAGAGATTTCGAATAACTGTACCTATGCAGCCATCATCAATCGAGAGGATCCATAATAATCGGAACAGAAAACAGCGGTGCGCCTTCTGCATCAAATCTGTTTGAAAAGCCAAGTAGAATTTTTAAGCAAGTTTATTGTTGGACAACAGCTTCGCAGGCCTGATTGCGAGAGCAAGAAAAAGAGAGAGAACAAGCTTTCTGTAACAACACTAATAATGCCAGGGGTCACGCGACCTCGAATTTCGAAGAAACTTTCATACTGGCCGCTTTGCAAACCCGCTCTCATTATCACCGTCTCATCGGCATTCATCATCATTACCATCGTCACCATCATCACTGTCGTAGTAGTCATTGTCCTCTGGCGTCACCTATTAAATTTAAAAGATGTGTTATATCATCGATGAATCGAACTTTTGAACGGATATTTGCTATGCATAGTGTTTACTTTGTTCGTTTGGCAAACACTAACATGGCTCACAAAGGTGAACAATGTTTGTGCGCAGCAAACGTCAGACTAATAATGAATAAAAATTTCATATTACCTGCTAGTAATTCTATCAACTTTTACCATTATATTGTTTGTAGATATGTGTTCAATAGAATTGTCATAGTTTTAAATTTGTGCATGCAACCTTTTCATCATTGTAGGTCGCTTGACGTAAGAAACATTTGGGCAGTGTAATCCGCACACGGCCTATATGGTGTAAGTGCTTGCATGACACCACCATAAGGAAGCCCACCCAAAGCCGTATTCGTCTAGTTACCCTGTAGGTTGAATAGACTACTGCTCCCATAAATTGATAAGCGATACCTTCGTAATAAGGTTACTAGTAATACAACAACAGTAACCAGCAAAGGTAACCGCTATCAGCAGCAAAACTGAAAACAATACGTACAACAAATGCGCTCTTCCACACACACACACACACACACACACACACACACACACACACACACACACACACACACACACACACACACACACACACACACACACACACACACACACACACACACACACACACACACACACACACACACACACACACACACACACACACACACACACACACACACACACACACACACACACACACACACACACACACACACACACACACACACACACACACACACACACACACACACACACACACACACACACACACACACACACACACACACACACACACACACACACACACACACACACACACACACACACACACACACACACACACACACACACACACACACACACACACACACACCACACACACACACACACAC